TGGGGGGGGGGGGAACTGGCGGTGGCGGTGGGGGTGGGAGAAATTCCAGGGCTCGGCAGCCAAATGATGGGAGGCACTTGACCACCAACAATAATAATAGCAACAATCTTTACATTTATCACGTCTTCGAGGCGTCTCAAAGCTCTTCAACCGGATGCACTTTGAAACGGAGTGACTGAACGTTTCGTGGGACGAAACCACAGGGCCTCTCCAATTCAGTCTCGCTGCGGAAGCCAGTTTTCCGAACGGGAGAACTGTCGGAAAGCAGTCCGGCTATCCAAGCTCCGGGTTTGAGGCCACTTTCTGAAATCCCCACAAGCCGCCTTTAACATTCACGGCAGCCGTCTTAAGCCTAAGAAGCCGGGGCGCTGCGCTGCGCTGCCGGCTCTGTGTGTCGGGAGTTTAACCGGCCAAAGGCACGCGACGGCTATTGAAAGCGCTGTCTGCCAAGCTTTCCCACTCCGGCGAGGACCGCACTGCCCGTGAGGACGTTGTTTGCAGGGTTAGCGGCAGCTGTGCCCTGGCCCCCCGCGGCGGAGTAAGTTTTACTCCGAAGCGAGGATTTCGCGTCGGAAGGCAGCGCGCGGAGGCTAAAGGCTTCGCTGGGCAGGGGGTCAACCCCATGGTTCAGGAGGCCAGCGAGCCGCAGAGCAGCCGAGGCTGCTGTTATGCGGCTTAGAGGATTGTGCACGCTGACAAGCCTTTGAATAATGCATTCCCAACACCATTAAGTCATGCTGTGCCTGCGATGAAGTGGTCCCAGTGCCAGCAGTGCACTGTGATGCCATGTTGGAGGGGTGCTGGTGAGGGTGGGGGGGTGGGGAGTGAGAGGAGGAGTGGAGGGAAGGGGTGGGGTGGGGTGGGGGGGGCGCGGAAGCGAGGAAAAGGAGGGCTGGATATTCTTTTTCTTCTCGGTGACCTGATTCTTTCGGTCGAACCGCGGATGCAGCTCAGGCGCTTTTATTCCTTAATGATCATCCTCGCATTCGATGCGCTCCTTATCACGTCTCCGAGCTCTTCGAGGGACTTTATGGTAAAGCGTAGTGACTGTGTATTATCCAGGTGAACGCAGCGGCCAATTTGCACACAGCAACTCCCCCGCAAACAGCCACGGAGTGAACGATTCATTGCTGTGTAGCTCACGGATTTGCCTCTCCCTCTCCTGCTCCTCCAGTCCATTTTTTTTTCCTGTCGGTACCTTCTGCCTCAACTTCATTGCTCTCTCTCTCTCTCTCTCTGTCCCTCACCCCCCCCCCCCACCACCTTCACTCCTTCACTCCCTCGCTCTCTCACTCCTTCACTCTGTCACTCCTCCACCCCCTCATACCCTCACTCCTTCGCACTCTCATTTCTTCTCTCCCTCTCCCTCCTTCGCACTCTCATTCACTCCCTCTCTCGTTCACACCCGCATTCTCTCTCTCTCTCTCTCCCTCTCCCTCGCTATTTCTCACCCCTCCCTCCCTCTATCTCAGACCTGCAATTTTTTGTGTGGCGCTCTTTCGCGACAAAAGAAAAACCCGCACAATTGAGCTTGGGGATTGTTACTAAATTGTCAGTGCATTTATCCCCTCAGAGGCTCTTGACGAGACGAAATCCTTTTAAATCCATCGTTAACTCAAATAGGATGTCACTTGTGATGAACAGAGAACCGCTCACTCATTTCGGGACTGTTTGTGAGCCTTTGTTCACCAGCACAAAACTGCATTCAGCTTCAGAAATACACTGTAAAAAAAAAAAGAACTGCTCTGCGACATTTTTGACTGCAAAAAGAGCGCGCCTCGAATGCAAGGATTATTATGATTATTATTATTATTATTAATTATCATTGCGGTGATGCTTTCATGGTCAGTGGGTGTCTGACACGTGCGGGAACTCATCAATCACTTGTTTCGGGGCTGTTTGTGGGGCCGTCGCTGTGGGCCGCCTCGCTCGCCTGCAAGACGCACAGCCTCCGCACTTTCACGGTCAAATCCCGTGAAAGCGCTTCGAGACGTCCTCCTGACGGTGAAAGGCGCTGTATCAAACGCAAGCGTTGTTAATGCGGTAAACTCAACTGATAACTCAACCCTGGCTTAACTTGCCGCTGCCGCTTAAATCATCGTGCCGTCAATATCCTGTCCATTGATGCACATGTCTATCTCGCCACTCCTGATAACTCGTTGCTGAGGCCTTACCCCCCCACCCCTTTGGAGTGACGAGTTGTCAGGAGTTAACTGTAATAAATCCCTCTCAGTTAAAACACTGTGTGACCCTCGGAAAATCCCCTCTTTTTTTTTTAAGAATAACAGTGACTCACCCATGTTTCCATTTGTTCCCTGAATCTCCCGTTTGCCCCAAACTGGTTCTCTGGTTGACGTTAAGAGCTCTATCTCTCTCTTTTACTCTCCCTTCGCCTGGTAATTCTACACTCAAGTTACGATCGATATACTTTTTGCATTTTTTTATATATTTATATACATATAGAGTATGGAAAAGAATTCAAACCATGATAATAATAATAATAATAATAATCCTCGCACTCGATACAGCACTTGACACGTCGTCGAGACGTCTCAAAGCGCTTCACAGAATATACTGTAAAGTGAATTGACAGTGTATTTCGTGGGCGGAGCGCAGCAGCCGATCGCACACAGTCGTGGATCGGGTGACCAATTTTTTTGGTGGGGGGAACACCATGGAAAAGCGATCCACCAATCGACTAACAACCGGGTTCCTAGGTAAACAGAGGCGCGTGGAGTCAGGAAATTTGCCCAACGTTTCGCCCTCTGCCCAGGAATCGAACCCGGGTCCTCTCGCTTGCGAGGCGAGTGCTCTAACCGCTGAGCTACAGGACTCCTAGCCTCTGCAGATTTGGTGCTCGATGGGTAACCGAGATCAACCAGTGTGGGTGAAATACAAGCAGAGGAAAGGAAACAGAATCATTGGTACTCATATTTTCCGGGCTAACTAACTCAACAATCTTTCGAGTGTACTTTCATCGCAGCTTGTGTTTTTTTTTTGGAAGTGGGGGGTGGGAACCTCTGAAAGAATTAGCATTAATACATGGAAACTCCAGCAAGTTTGTTTTCGTTTGAAAAAAAATCAAGATACCCTTTGGTGATAGTGACTTTTGATTGCAAGACAAAATTTTCCTGTGTAAAATGCTAAGCACCAACTAATCGTCAGAGAGAGAGAGAGAGCGAGAGAGCACGTAATTGCATTCAGTAGGGACTATCCATTCAACCGAGGTGAAACTTTAGGCAAGTTTCCTTACTCCACACGCCTCGGTTTACTTAGCAGTAAGTAGGAACCCGGTTGTTAGTCGATTAGCGGAACGATTTCTCACGGCAATTAATCCCTTAAAAAAAATTGTTCGCTCAATCCACTGTGAGCAATTGGCTGCCACGTTTCTGCCACAAGTACACAATCAATCCACCATCGGAGGTTGTGCTTCCAGCCACTGCGCCCCAAAACTCTGGAACACTCTCCCTCAATCCCTCCACCTTGCCCCCCAAACCCCCCCCCACTTTCAAGTCCCGGCTGAAAACTTTCCTCTTCAACCGTAAGGAGGCCACCTCCCTCCTCCCCTCCCCTCCCTCCCTGGCTAGGAGTCAGGCTGCTCCACTGAGATGCTCCCCTGCTTGGAGTGCGCTACATAAGTGCAAGTTGTTGCTGTGGACAGAATCGCCCACAAAATACACAGTCGCTCCACTTTACAGTATGTTCTGTGAAGCGCTTTGAGACGTCTCAACGACGTGATAAGACGCTGTATGAAATGCAAGGATTATTATTGTTATTAAAGGTGACAGAAGGAAGGAGACAGAGACACACAGAGAGAGAGAGAGAGAGAGAGAGAGAGAGAGAGGTAAAGATGGGAGTAAGAGCTCCCGATCGGTTTTTATTTTGAGGTGGTATGTGTGTGGTGGGTGAGGAGATCTGTGTGTGTGCGCGCGTGTGTGCGCGTGTGTGTTTGAGTGTGAGTGTGTCTAACATGTGGCAGAGAGAGAGAGAAAGATGAGTATCAGAGATCCTGATCACCTTTTGATGTGTGTGCGTGTGCGTAGGGAGATGAAATGAATGTGTGCGCGGATGGATGGGTGGGTGGGTGGGCGGGCGGGTGGGCGGCAGCGATAGAGCGCGAGAGATAAAGGTGACAGAAGCAAAGAGGTAGCGAGAGGAAGAGAAAGGGAAAGGTGACCGAACGAAAGAAACAGAGCGACCCAGAGAGAGAGAGAGAGACAACGAGACAACGATGACACAGATCGAAAGAGAGAGTGAGCGAGCGAGCGAGCGAGCGAGGGAGAGGGGGGTGGGGTGGGGTGGGGCGGAGGGGTTAACGGAAGGAAAGAGACAGAAGAAAAAGAGACCGAGAAGAAAGAAATGGAAAGGTGACCCCCCCCCCCCCACCCCAAAAAAAAAGAGAAAGGAAGAGAGAAGAGAGATAAAGGTGAGGAGGGGGTTAAGAGTTCCTGATCAGTTTTTTTTAGGGGGAGGGGGAGAGGGGGGGACATGTGTGTATCTGTGGGGGATGGGGAGGTGTGTGTGTGTGTGTGTGTGAGGGGGTGACAGAGAGAGAGAGAGAGAGAGAGAGAGAGAGAAAGAGGGAGAGAGAGAGCGAAGGTATCAGAGAAGGAGAGGGACTGATGGCCAAAGTGGGCGAACAGCTGATGGAACGCGGAGTGGCAAATCCCCGGTTGATGGACGGGACGCCGGGACCAATGGGAGAGCTCGGGCCGCCCGGGGAGGGCGGGGCCCGAGCCGGGCGGACCAATAGGCGCTGGGGCAGGGGGTAGGGGGCGGGGCCGGGGGCGGGGCCTGGGGCTGGTCCCCCCTTTGCTGCTCAGACTGACTCACACAGTCCTCGGACCTGAGTTAAAGGGACTCGAGTTGGGTTTCTTTGGGGGTTCCCTTTGCTCTCCATCAACTCATCCGCTGCTGCACATCTCTCTCTCTCTCTCTCTTTGTTTTCTTCTTCTTCTTTCTCTTTCTCTCTCCGAGGAAGGGAGAGGGTGAGAGGGGGAGAGAGGGGGGGAGAGAGGGGGAGAGACGACCAGCCCCAGAGATCTGCTCCCAGCACCACAGCCAGTGAGTGAATCTTTCTGTTGGGTTTCCTTTCTGTGTTATAAGGGTCTGGAGATGGGTTTTGAATCACTTGTAATAATGTGTGTGTGTGTGTGTAAATATATATATGTGTGTATGTGTAAATATATATGTGTGTGTGTGTGTAAATATATGTGTGTGTGTGTAAATATGTATATGTGTGTAAATATATATATGTGTGTAAATATATGTGTGTGTGTGTGTAAATATATATGTGTGTGTGTAAATATATATGTGTGTGTGTAAATATATATATGTGTGTGTAAATATATATATGTGTGTGTAAATATATATGTGTGTGTGTAAATATATATGTGTGTGTGTGTAAATATATGTGTGTGTGTAAATATATATATGTGTGTAAATATATATATGTGTGTGTGTAAATATATATATGTGTGTGTGTAAATATATATATGTGTGTGTAAATATATATATGTGTGTGTGTGTAAATATATATATGTGTGTGTGTAAATATATATATATGTGTGTGTGTAAATATATATATGTATATGTGTGTGTAAATATATATATGTGTGTGTACATATACACACACACACATACATATATAAATATAATATCTATGTTATATATATATATATTTGAGCCTGAGAGAGGAGAGGAGAGCAGAGAAATTAATGTAACGTATGATTCCGTTGGAGCTGCTGAAATATTAAATATTCATATGCCCCTCTTTTCCAGAGTGCTGCGTTTCTCGGGGTTTCTTTCGGAGGGGGTGGGGGTGGCGTTGTAAATAAATAATCTTCGGAGAGTTTGGGAATTGTTCTTTTTTCCTCTCTATAAGCTTTATAACTTTCCCCTCCCTCTCCCCTCCCCCACCCCCCAAAAAAATACCCCACCCAAGATCTCTCCACTACGTTCCGGTTTGTTAACTCACATTGTTATTCTATAATAGGAGCCTTTTTCTTAACATGAATTATTATATGTAGATATACAGTCAATCCACTTTACAGTATCTTCTGCGAAGTGCTTTAAAGACGTCTCAACGATACGATAAGGTGTTATATCAAATGCAAGGAATATTATTAATATCCCCCCCCCCCCCTAATTTTAGGGGCATGGGGGTTGAACTCTCTGTGGAGAGGGGAGATTCCAAGGATGACTTTTATCCTTGTTGTTTTATTAGTTTATGATCACAATAAATCGCCTTCTACCACTCAATTGTGGTTTTTGTTTCTCTCCCGTCCCACCCCCCATCCTAAACGCAAGAAAACTGCTTCCCCCACCCCCCTCCACCCCACCCTTCAAAAGGTTTCTAATCCAAGCCTCCTATGCTCGCTGACTCGGTGATTAATTCCCCGCCCCCGCACCGCCCAAATTAATAATAATAATATGTAATAATCCCTTCCCCCACCCCCACAAAAAAAAACTGGTCACTTACTCCACGACTGCCCGTGGGACGCCGCTGTGAGCAATTAGTTTCCGCGTTTCGCCCACAAAAGACACAGTCAATTCACTTTACAGTACGACCTGTGAAGTGCTTTGAGACGTCTCGATGCTGTGATAAGGAGTTTGGGTTATTATTAGCACGACCGTGGTTGGAAAACTATTGCGCTGGCAGAGTCCCGAGATCCTTTCTAAGGGAATTATTTGTGTATGAAAGAGGGATATTAAAGGGTGTGGGCGAGTAGCGGCGGTGGTGGGGGGGGGGGTTGTGGGGGCGGGGGAGTGGGGTGGGGGAAGGGGGAACGAGCAGGAGAGTGGTTTTCATGTGGAGAGTAATACCAGCACGTACTTGATGGGCTGTAAACCATTCACACGTATTTTTTTGGGTTCAAAAAATGGTCTCCTTATTCTGTCGCGATCCTCGGTTGGAATCCCGTTTCGCCCTTTCTCTCGTATAGCGCTCCGAGGCGCCGTCCGGGGTGATGGACGCTATATAAGTGCGCGTTGTTGTTGTTTGCTGTTGCTGTTGTTGTTGAGGGGAGGGAGTGTCACACCGAGGTGTGGAAACGAAGTAATAATAATCCTTGCGTTTTTGATACGGCGCCTTATCGCGTCGTTAAGACGCCTCAAAGCGCTTCACGGGACGCGCCGTAAAGCGAACCGGCTGTGTATTTTGTGGGCGAAACGCGGCAGCCAATTGCGCCCAGCGCATAACACTGCTCGTTCAACACAGCGCCTTTTCACCCTGGGGGGACGCCTCGAAGGCGCGAGACACAGGACGTACTGCAGTGACCGTGCACGTCGCAGGCGGGGCAGGTGGGTTGCGGCGGGTTTGAAGCGCGGTGGCGAGAGGGTCAGGAGCGAGAGAGCTGAGTGAAGAGGTTCCGTGTGAAGCGGTTAATTCCCCATCGACGGTGAAACAGCGGAACCCTCCGGGGAGGGTGAGAATGGGGAATCCCATTAGCAGACCGCATCGCCACACACTTGACAAAGATCCACCTGCCTTTTACTGTCAGTTTGGGCTCAGATGGAGGATCGCTCTCCCCTCTGGGTTCAAGCCACTACACTACGCTTCTCAGTGTGGGAAGGAGGAGGAGGAGGAGGGGGGGGAAAGGGGTCGAGCAGGACCTCCTTGGCGATTGAGCTGGTTTCGAGGTGACGTGTTTGCCAAAGGAATGCGGGAATTGAACCCCCCTCTCCCCCCCCCCCCCCCCACCCCCCCACTCACTCTCTGTGACGGTCTCTGGTCCCAGTTCCTGAGCCAGGAGGGTCCGCAGTATTCCAGGGCACTCACTGCTGATGGCAGCGCAGCCCGGCCTGGCTCATCGGCAGGACTCAGAGAGGCAGAGGGAACCTTTCCTGTTTGGTTCGACGTTAACACCGCAAGCCAAAGCCCTGAGTGGGGACGAGCAGCGGGAAAGCTCGCTATATAATGCTCCAACTGGTTAAGCTCCAGCAGTTACCAGAGCCCTCGCCTCGCAAGCGAGTGGACCCGGGTTGGGCAAAACCTTAGGCAAGTTTCCTTACTCCACACACCTCTGTTTTCCCAGCAGTAACCCAGTTGTTGTTCGACCGGCCGATCGCTTTCCCGGGGCGGGGCGGGGGGGGTAATAATCCCTCAAAAAAAAATGGTCACTCAATCCACGACCGTCTGTGGGACGCTGCTGTGCGCAATTGGCTGCCGCCTTCGGTGTTCAGACGTCTCGACGGCGCGATGAGGCGCAGTTTCTCTGATTTGATCTTTCCGTTTCAATCTTTCCTTTCCTTAAATTCCGAAACAAATTCTACGCCCGGGGGGGAAAAAAAAAGCGAGGATGGAAAAAAAAAGGCCGACTGCAGCTCGGAAAATTTCGCCCACAAAACACGCAGCGCTTTGCAGTATGTTCTGTGAAGCGCTTTGAGACGTCTCCAAAGAAACAAGGGATCTCTGCTGTTGTTGGTAGTAATAATAATAATATTCCTCACATTGCACACTTAAATCATGTCTTCGAGAGGTCTCAAAAAGCGCTTCACAGAATATATTTTCAAGTGAATTGACCGCATAGCTCGTGGGCAAAACGTGGGCAAAAATATCTGATCTTCGGTTAACGTGATCCTAACTGCGATCTGGTTCAGGTGGGTGTTTAAAATCTAATTCCAAGAGAAGCAAGAAGTTCACCTTCGTTGTTGATAACCCTAATTCACCAAAACAAAACGATAGATCAGTCATTTGCCGCGACTGCTCTGTGCCCTCAACACCTCCTTATCTCTCTGATCTCTTCCTATGCTGCTCTGCTCACCTGCTGCAAACATCCTTCCGGCGTGAAAAGGGTTATGTAAATGTCAATTGATGTTGTATTGCTTTAAAGTCTGCCTTGGTGCCTACCCCTGTCTCTCCAGCTCGGGTGACTGAGCCCGACTTTGGGAACCGTTCAGAGAGATTGTTCTATGTGAAGGTACTGTCGCTTTTGTCAATTACAAGTCATTTCGCCGCACCGTTAGGCGATGCCATTGCACCAGTGGTAATCTTTTTGGCTTCAGCCCTTCCTGTCTTTGTGCCCCTCTCCCTCAGTTATTAAGCGCATGTTGTAAATTGTATTGTAAATACGTTCCGTGTCCCAAAGCTCTGAATGCCTGACGATGTCAGTTAATATTGTTATTTGCTTTGCTGACCATTAACCCAGTTAACGGAGTCTCTCAACAATTTTCACAATACTTCCATTTGAGATAGGGCCGTATCATGGCGTCAGGTCATCTCAAAGCGCTTCACAGGATTTCACTGTAAAATGTAGTGACTGGATCCAATTTGTGCAGCACAGCAGTGTCCCACAAACAGCGATGAGGTGAATGATCATTTTGATCTGGGCAATTGTTGGACGAGACACTGGGAGAGAGCGAGAGACACCCTTCTCTTTTCGAGGGTTATGATTATTATTATTATTAATAATAAATCTCGCGGGTCACGTGTCATTCATTTCTGTTTGTGGGGATGTCGCTGTGCACAAATTGGCTGTTATGTTCACTGATAAAATGCAAACCATCACTACGCTTTACAGTATATCCTGTGAAACCCTTTGAGACATCTCAACGACGTGATAAGGTGCTATATCAAATGCGTGGATTATTATTATTTATTTTTATCATTTAAGCCAGAGTCGCATTAATAAGCTAATCAATGGGACGGGGTGCAAGTTCCTTTATTACAACAAGAACCACAACTAGAATAACTTGCATTTATATTGCATCTCTTGCGCAGAATAGAGACCCGGAGCGTTCGACGGACCATCCCTTTCACAGGGCAAGAGACAGCACCAATCGGCCTGCGCGGTGCACAATTTGAACCAAAATACGTGCATGGATACCGAGAGGGAGTAAGAAAGCACCTGCACATGTTTCAACAGAAAACAAAACCGTTTCAAATACGCTACAGGATGTGAGCTAACCACCAAGTCGCTGCGCGTGTACAGGAAGTCAGGGGGTATTTAGTTTACATGCAAGGCTCTTGTTCCATGAGATTGAGTAGGGCCTTCTTTAGCCAAAGTCTCGTTCAACACACCTAGTCCCAACTCCCTCTTCCCCCGCCAATCGTGACACACGTGTTGCCTCACGTAGTCCACTTGTCCCCAACTCAATCGACTCATTCCCTAACTTGATATACTTTTTTTTCCCCCCCCAACTTAATACACGTTTCCCGAACTTCAGTCAGTCTCGTTCTCACCCTCTCGCGTCGTTGAGACGCCTCCGAAGCGCTTCACGGGAATGACTGTCATTGTAATCACTGTAAGCGGAGTGACTGTGTAGTTTGTGGGCGGAAGGTGCCAGGGGGTGAAGTGCTTTGCGGACGAGTGAGAGGACCAGCGGAGCCTGGCGAAGACTGGTGCGGTGGGGGTACGGAGTGTAGGGTGTGGGGGTGGGTGGGCGGAGGGTGGGGTGGGGTGGGGGGAGGGCAGTAATATTTTATAGAATGTCCCAATTATCCTCAGGGATAATCCTCGTAACAGCAGCCTTGTTCCGTAACACGTTTGATGTTGATAACGCTGCCCACTTATCGGTCCCACGCAGTTTCTGCCCACAGTAGTGCATCGCATTTCGTTAGAAACTGATGGATTTGATTAACCCGCTGGTGGGCGAGTCTTTACAGTGTGTGGAAACCGTGTGACGTTGAGGAGATTTAGTTTTGGACCCCATCTGGTCGTTGCCACGGCAATCGTCGGATCGGTTCTTCGTCTGTGGGCACCCACTCAAGACCTGAGGCTGGGAGGTGATAGGCGCGAGAGGGAGAGATCGTTCATGTTGTCGAGCCTTCGCTGTCCCTGCGTTAACGAGAACCCGATTAACAAACAACAGCAACAACAGCTTGGACTTATATAGCGTCCTCCACGCAGGGCGGCGTCTCAGAGCGCTTAACAGTGGCGGAGCCTGATTCCGAGCCTGCGGGGGGGGGGGGGGGGCGGGGGGAGAAACCATAAGTACGGTCGAAGACTTGAACGAGAGGAGGGGGGGGGGGGCAAGGCGGGGAGGGATTGAGGGAGAGCGTTCCTGAGTTTTGGGCCGTTAGCGGCTGAAAGAGCGGCCTCCGATGGTGGGGCGGAGGGCGCGGGGGACGAGCTGGAGGCCGGTGCCAGTCGAGCGGAGGTGCCGGGTGAGGAGTGAGGAGGTCGGGGAGGTAGGGAGGGAGGTACCAGGGAGTGAAGGGATTTGAACGCGAGTGTGAGGATCGTGAAGTTGATCGGCGAGGAGTGTGACTGGGGAATCAAAGAGGGAAGTGAGAATGCGTGGGGACGAGGGTTTCAATGGCTTTTGGAGTGAGATAGGTTCGGAGACGTGCAGTGTGCCGGAGGTGGAGGAGAGCGGTCCTGGTCACAGCCTGAACGTATTATAATAATAGAATAATAATCCTTGCAACTGATGCACGTCCCCGAGACCTCTCAAAGCGCTTCACAGAATATACTGTATATTTTGTGGGCGAAACGCGGCAGCCAATTGCGCACAGCAGCGTCCCCACAAACAGTAGTGGGTTGAAGTGACCAATATATTATGATTATTTTTTTTTTGAAGGGATTATTAGCCCCGGAAAAGTGATCCGCCAATCGAGTAACAAGCGGGTTTAGGGCAGGACGTAGGGCAGGAAGAACGGCTGAGGTCTGATCTGGACTCTGATGTTCGGTGAGGTTGTGAGAGAGAGAGAGAGAGGTTGAGGAGGTCAGAGCCAAAGGTGACGAAATGTTGGCTTGAGCCAAGAAGATTGGCTTCCGTCTTGTCCAAGTTAATCTGCTGAAAGTTGGTGCTCATCCAAGCCTTGATGTCTGACAAGCTCCTTTCTCTTTTCGAGTTGCGCCATTGGGATCTCTAACATCCACCTGAACAGGCGGATGTTTGTGTGTGTGTGTGTGTGTGCGTGTGTGCGTGTGCACGTGTGTGTGAGACTCTATCTTAGCGAGAGATCTATCTGTATACATGACATGTAAATATGTTTTTGCGCACGTGTGGGTGTGGACCCCACTCTCTCTCACTGTTTATGTCTGTCTGTCTGTGTGTGTGTGTGTGTGTGTGTGTGCATATCTCCCCCTTTCTCTCTCACTGTTTACGTGTGTCCCCCACCCCCTCTCGCTCTGTGTGTGTGTGTGTGTGTGTGTGTGCGCGCGTGTGCGCGTCTATGTACATGTCTTTGTATGTGTGTGAGCCCGGAAATAAACAAACAACCTACAGGAGTCAATATGAAGACCAGTTGTGTCAGCAATCACAGTCGTCAGCCCTGTGGAATCAGCCCACACTGAGCCTGAGCTGAATAAATTGAGTTTTTTGGGGGTAAATTACGCTTGCGTTTCAGTATAAATGACATCCTTCGTGTGTCGCCCCCTCCCTCTTATCTTCCAAGTACCAGGTCTCACTCCCACTCGCCTGATTATACTGAGAGAAACTGTTATACAACCATTGCTTAAAGAGAGAGGGAGGGAGAGAGAGAGAGAGAAATCTAGAAGTTATTACTATCTTCACTGACTGTGTTCAACGCAGGGCTCTTGATGGGATGTGGAGTGGGGGGGGGAGGTCTAATAATAATAATGAATAATAATTAATAATAATAATCGTTGTAATTGATGCGACGCCTGATCACGTCATCGAGACGACTCAAAGCGCCTCACAGAATACTCTGTAAAGCGCAGGGACTGTGTAATTTGCGGGCGACGCGCAGCCCATCAAGAGCCCTGCGGTGAACACAGTCAGTGAAGACAGGAATAACTAGATTTGTTGCTTATACAACAAGCACAACAGTCTCAACGCCACCTTGGGGCTTGCCTTCGGATGAGAAGTTAACCTGAGGTCCCGTCCGCTGTTCAGGTGGACGTTAAAGGTCCTGTGGGCACTATTCTCTCTCCCAAATAAAAAAAAATGTGGTCATTATTTGCGGGGACGCTGCTGTGCGCAATTGGCCGCCGAGTTTCGCCCACAAAATACACAGTCACTGCACTGTACAGTATATTCTGTGAAGCGCTTTGAGACGTCTGGACGACGTGATGAGGCGCTGTATCAATTGCAACGATTATTATTATTATGAGACCTCCCCCCCCCCCAACCCCCTCACTCACTCCACACCCAGGAAGTCTTCCTAATACACAGTCACTACGCTTTACGGACATCTCAAAGCGTTGCTGGGATGGTGGGTGGTCGAAGCAATATCGCAGCCTGACTTTAATTCCGCCTTTGAGCCACTGTGCAGATATGGGGACGTGCGGATGACCTGAAGATCTATCACTGGAACCAGTGATTTTTCTCGTGGGCCGGACTTCATTTGGTAATTAACAAATCCCGTTAGGAAATCCCACAGAAGTGACCCCATCCTCTACCCACCCCCCCACCCCGCAGCCATACCCTCCTCCGCCCCACTCTCCCCAGGCCCTTACAGTAGATTACAGAGGGGAAGCGGTGACTGAAATAGACCTGACGGCCGGTTTGAAACCTGACTCCGCTCTTTATGTTGGTGACATTTCACTTCTTCTTCAGCAAATGTGCCAATTCAGCGCACGGACTTGCAGGGAGCTGAGTGACTGCCCCCTCCCCGTGCGAAGAACTGGCTGCCTCCCAGATCGGCTCACACTCATTCTGCTTTCCTCCCTCGTTGCACGTGAGTGAGTGCGTGTCTCTCTCTCTCGCTTTCTCTCTCTCTCTCTCTCTCTCTCTGTGTGAGTGTGTGTCTCTGACTGCGTGTGCCTCTTAACAGTCTGTGTGTATGTCTGCGCTTCTGTGAGTATCTCTAACGGTCTGTTGTGCGCGCGTGTGTGTGTCCCTCTGGTCTGACATTCTGTGCGTGTGTTTGTGTGCGTCTGACATTCTGTCTGTCTCCCTCTCTCTCTCTCTCTACAGATCCTCAATGTCTCTTTTTATCTTTTTCCCCCCCACAGCGTTCAGAGTCCCCGCCTTCGCTTTGAGCTCAGCAACGTTTGAACGGCCGTGGGTTGAGTCCGGTCCCTGACAACCACCGTCTCACTCATCGTGCGTCGTCCGAAAGCCTCAACCCTCGAGGCGCCAACATGTCTCCCTTCCTGCGTATCGGGCTCTGTAACTTCGACGGAGGTCCTTGCCCACCTGGACAGGAGATAGAGAACCCGTACTGTGCGGTCATCGTCAAAGAGGCCGTGGACACTGGTAAGAACATAAGAATGCGTTGGGTGAAATGAGACCAAAGGTCCAACCATTTCGTCTTCCCCCCGGAGCCTGGCGGTCGCTTGCAACGTGTCGTGTCACAAACTATATCCCGTATCCCCCGGATATTATTTCCTAACAGAAATCGATCTCACTTGTTCCTGAAAGAATCGACGCTTTCTGCTCCCACCGTCTGTCTGTCTCTCTCTCTCTCTCTCTCTATCGAGTTATCCCGTAGGTAACTACGGGAAACATAGCCTCTTAAGAATCCCTCCACGCCTTGACAGCCCCCCACCCCACCTCTCCGACCTGCGCACTCCCCACTCCACCACCCGCTGCCTCCGCTCGGCCAGCTCCGGCCTCCCGCTCGTCCCTTGTGCCCTCTGTTCCGCCATCGGCGGCCGCGCTTTCAGCCCCCACGCCCTGGAATTCTCTCCCTCGATCCTGCCCGCCTTGCCTCCTCCTTCCCCATTTTCAGATCAACTTCCTCTTGGGCCGTACTCAAGGTCACCCCTCCTCAGCTCGGGGTCAGGCTCCGTCACCGTGAAGCCCTCCGAGATGCTAACCAGCGTGAAGATGGCAACTCTGGACACTGTACTCAGTGTAGAGTCAAACTGGACTCAAAGTGAGCTCAACCCCCCCCATCTTTATAGGGCTAAAACACCACAGTCTACCGACTTAGATGCGAGAGTCCTATTAACTGGGCTCGGTCATCACCAGGAATCCGCTAACTAATGTTCCATCCGCTCTCTTCCTTCCTCCTTTACTGTACATAAATATCCTTACATTTCCCATCAGCAAAATGTGACTTCTGTTATTGCTACAAGTTCTGCTATTTGTTTCTCTCTCTTCCGCCCCCCCCCCCCCAACCCCCCAACCCCCCCACCCCCCACCCATCGTCGAGAGCTAATTGTTGATCTCTGTGTCTCGTTTTCACTCAGTGTTTCCGTATATAAAAAGAGCTTTCGAGTGTCAGCCTGGGCTCAGTCGGTAGCTCTCTCATCGGCGACGACTTGCGTTTACACAGCGCCCCCTCGCGCACGGTGTTGCGCCTCAGAGCGCTCGACAGTGGCGGAGCACGAGGCAGAGCTGGTGGTGGGGTGGGGTGTTGGGGGGGGGGTGACCGTAGGCACGGTCGAATAGGAAGGGGTTCAGGCACGACCTGACGACGGGGAAGGAAGGGGCCAAGGTGGAGAGGCAGAGGAAGAGTGTTCCAGAAGAGTGTTTCGTGGCTGAAAGTGTGGCCACCGATGGCGGAATGGGACTTTAAAAGAGAGAGAGAGCTCTCGTCTCTGAGTCAGAAGGTTGTGAGTTCAAGCCCCACCACCACCTCGGGACTTTGAACGCTCACAATCTAGAGTTAGGGGTTGGTGTATTGCCCTTTGGATGAGACGTTAAACCGAGGTCCCATCTGCCTGTTCAGGTGGACGTTGAAGATCCCACGGGGCTATTCGAAAAGAGAAGGCAGTTTCTCTCTCTCTCTCTCTCTCTCTCTCTCTCCCGGTGTCCTGGCCAACAATTCCCCAAATAAAATTAGTCATTCACTGCATGGGTGTGTGCGAATTGGCTGGGTCATTTGTCTACCAGATACGTGTTCACTACAAGTGGAGTCCTGTAGCTCAGTGGGTTAGAGCACTCGCCTCGCAAGCCAGAGGACCTGGGTTCAATTCCCGGGGCAAGGGGCGAAACATTGGACAAGTTTCCTTACTCCGCAGCGCACGCGCCTCTGTTTACTCGGCAGTAAGTAGGAACCCAGTTGTTAGTCAATTGATGGATCGCTTTTCGGGGGTAATAATCCTTCCAAGAAAAAAAGTGCTCACTCAACCCACGATTGTGTTTGTGGGGATGTTTCGCCCACAAGATACCCAATCAATTGACTTCACAGTATGTTCTGTGAAGCGCTTTGAGACGTCTCACCGACGTGATAAGGCCCTGTATCAAAAGCCAGGATGCTGGTTATTATTATAATGATTATTATTATTATTATTATTGCTTCCACAGAAAAGGGGCAGATTTTCATGCAGAAGAAGCCCACCATGTACCCATCCTGGAGCGCCACCTTCGACGCTCACATCAACAAGGGCCGAGTGATGCACATCGTGATCAAGGACAAGACCGTGGAGTTGATATCGGAAATCACGGTGGAGCTCAACCCCCTGGCGGAGAAGTGCAAGCGGAACAACGGGAAGGCAGACGTCTGGGTAAGGTTTGGGGGTGGGGAGGGTATTATTATTATTATTAATATTATCAATATTGTTGTTAATATTATTGTTATTCTTATTAATGTTATTTTATTATTTTATTTTATATTATTATTATTATTATTATTATTATTATTATTATTATTATTATTATTATTATTATTATTATTATTATTATCCGTGCCATGGCCGGTTCTACCTTCTCCCACCCCCGCGGCATTGCTCGCCTCCACCGCTAACTCTACAGCTCGTGCCTTCTCCCGCGCTAAACATGTACCCGGTCGATCCACTCCAGATCGTTAAGCTGTCCGGACTGTCAAGTTATTTTCCTGTGTCTGTCCTTTAATGTCCGCAGAAGAAGAAAAAAAAAATCCTGATTTCAGAAATTCTCCCAATTCTGGACGCTCTGAAAAATGATACGTTTCGAGTAAATCTGCCCTGAAACTGTTGGTAAATCTCCAGAAGTTGTGCACTATTTGTGTCTCGTTTCCTGACATACTCACGTTGCTTCTCTCTCTCTCTCTCTCTCTTTCCCTTGTTCCCCCTCTCTCCCTCCCTCCTTCCCCCTCTCCTTCATCCTCATTCTCCCTCTCTCACTCATTCTCTTCTCTATCTCTGGTTCCCTCTCTCCAACATTCCCTATCTCTCGCTCCCCACATTCCCTCCTTTCTCTCTCTCTCTCTCTCTCTCTCTCTCTCTCCCCCCTTCTACCCACATTTCCTCTCTTCCTCCTCCTCCCTCTCTCCCTCTTTCACATTCCATCTCTCCCACAACAGCTGGATTTAAAGCCCCAGGGTCGCATGTTGATGAACGTCAAGTACTTTGTTGAGCAGAGCGGTAAGTCTCCGATAATGCCGGGAAGCTTCTCCGGGCGCGTGGGGTGGGGGTACAAAATTCCTCACGATCGTAGCCTTGAGACCCTTGCCTTAAATGCTGGGATCGTGCAGAATTCCATCTCAATCAGGATTTTAAAGAAAAAAACTGGTCGCTCAATCCGCGGCTGTTTGTGGGGGGGATGGGGTGGGGGGGGGGGAGAGGTCGCCGCTGTGCGCAATTGGCTGCCGCGTTTCGCCCACGAAATACGCAGTCACTGCGCTTCACAGTAATAATAATAATAATAATAATAATCCTTGCATTTGATATAGCGCTTTTCACGTCGGGAGAGGACGTCCCAAAGCGCTTCACAGAACACACTGTAAAGTGAATTGACTGTATATTTGTGGGCGAACGCGGCAGCCGATTGCGCACAGCAATGTCCCACAAACAGTCGTAGATTGAAAATGACCAATTTATTATTGTTTTTGTTTTGGAGGGTTATTATTAGGCTCTGTGTGGAGTAAGGAAACTTGCCCAAGGTTTCGCCCTCTGCCTGGAATTGAACTCAGGTCTCTCACTTGCAAAGCGAGTGCTCTAACCACTGAGCTACAGGACTCCTCGTACATCCTTTGAAGCGCTTTGAGCCGTCTGAACGACTTGATAAGGCGCTGTATGAAATGCCAGGATTATTATTATTATACACACGCACACACACACGCGCGCGCGAGCGCACGACTGAGGGAAATGGAAATGGCCCGTGTAGATTTATGATCTGAAACTACACGGAAGACTGATAATAATCTGGGCACTCGCCTGGATTGCTAACACCCCAGTCATTGCCGACAGCTGCCCCGTTGTGTGTTAAAAGTATCACGCTGACATTAAGATTCATTTGAAGGGGTGTTGTCGGTGCCAAAGGGAGGGGTGTGGGGGGGGGGGAATTTCCCTGAAATGACTAATACATGACTAATACAGCCACAACTCTGACCAACCGAGGCTCCGCTCTCCTGCCCTCCCCTCCCCTCCCCCTCCCCTCCCCACCCAGCCCCCCCCCCGCGCCCCCACTCCCCCCACAACCTCCGCCCCCACTGAGATCCTCAGCCTCAGAGAACGCTGCACAATACACCTCCACCCACCATCGCCGATCGAGCTTTCAGATAATAATGATAATAATAATAATAATCCTCACGTTTGACCCCAGCGCCTCATCACGTCTTCGAGACGTCTCAAAGCACTTCACGGGATACGCTCTGAAGCGTAGTGACTGTGCATTGCGTGGGCGAAACGCGACAGCCAGTTGGGCAGAGCAGCGTCCTGCAAACGGTCGTGGATTTTTTTGGGTGGAGTCAGGAGCTGGTGGCGGGGGGTGGGGGGCGGGATTGTTGGCCAGGACCAGCACATCTGGCCAGGCAAGTGGGACGTCAGGTTAATGTCTCCTCCAAAGGATGGCACCTCCGACAATGCGTTGGAGCGTCACCTTAGATTGTGTGGCTCCCAAGTCCTGATGTGGAAGGGGCTCGAACCCGCAACCCTCCGACTCAGAGGCGAGAGCGCTATCGACTGAGCCAAGCTGCGTTGGCCGTGTGTTTAACACCCTGTGTTTGTGTGCTCTGTGCAGTCATTAAAGCTTCCCTCTATCTCTTCCCCTCACCCCCCCACCCCCCTCCCCCCGACCCACCACCACCACCACCGCCACCAACAACCAGAGTGTAAAGGAAACCCAGAGAGCGAGAGTGAGGGCTTCTTCGCTCTGCGTCACAGGAGGGGAGCCATCAAACAGGCCAAGGTTCACAACGTCAAGTGCCACGAGTTCATCGCCACCTTCTTCCCCCAGCCGACCTTCTGTTCTGTCTGCCACGAGTTTGTCTGGTACTTGCACTCGCTTCATACCTACCGTCTCAGCCGGCTGACACCTCCCTGCTTCGTCACCCCACCCCCCCCCTTCCCCCACCCACCCGCCCAGCGCCTTGGGACGTTCTCCCGAACTGAAAGGCGCTATACAAATGCCATTTTGTATTGTATCTCCCCCCCCCACCATCAGCATGTCAGCTACCAGCCATTCTTCCTTCCCCCACCCACCTCGCTCTCTGGAACTCCATCCCGGAGTCCCTCTGACTTGCTCCCTCCCTCCCGCCCCAAGTTCCTGCTTTTGAATCCCACATCGAGACGTAACTCTTCGACCGGGTTTTCTGCCCTTTTTTCCCCTCCGTCCCCCACTGTCTCCCCTCCCCCTTCCCCACTCGCTTTACGACCCTCAGTTTAACGCCTCACCCGAAGGATGACACCACCCAACAATTCAGCACTCCCCCTCTCCCTCCTCTCCACTCCCCCTCCCTTTCCCCCCCCCCCCACTCACTCCCCAGCACTGTACTGGAATGTGACCCCCCCCCTCCCACCACCCCCCAAGATCAGAAAGTGAGGAGCTTTGCGAGTGCCTTCCGTTCACACGCAACCACTGATTTTGCAAGACCGCAACCAGAGAGATTCAGATGAAGGTTCGTCCCATCTGATCGATCATCCTTCCAGAAAACCCACCGTACCCTGTCCTCCCGTCACAGCGTCAAGGTGTTTCTCAAACCAGCGCGTCTCCGGTGTCCCGTCTATACAGTCTCTCTTCCCTAATAACCCTGCCTCAATAGTTAATTCCCTCCTGTGTAAAGAAATACTTCCTGGTGTCCGTCAGTTCCATGATTAATAATAACAGTCATCATAATACTTGCATTTGGTACGGCACCTTATCCCGGCTTCGAGACGTCTCAAAGAACTCAGTCTTGTTCCTCTTTTCTTTCAGGGGGCTGAATAAACAAGGCTACCAGTGTCGTCGTAAGTTAGCTATTTTCCGCTTCTAAAGGTTCAGATCCAATTTAAGCTTTGACCTTGACTTTAAGCTCCGAGGAACAGCCTTCATCGCTCAACACTCTCCTTCTCTCTCTCTCTCTCTTTCTCTCTCTCTCTTCTCTTTGCCCCACAGAGTGTAACGCTGCCATCCATAAGAAATGCATCGACAAAGTGATAGCAAAGTGCGCAGGGTCAGCCGTGAACAGCAGAGAAACAATGGTTAGTATCCCTCGCAGACGATCAAAGGCAATTCTCACACCCAGAGGCTGAGGTTGACGGCCTTTGGCTCAGACACTAAACCAATATCCTGTCGGGTGTTAAAGGCCCCATTGACAACAGCAGCAACTAATGATATTTACGCAGCGCCTTTCACTGGACATCAAGGATTTGCACCCGAGCTGGGAGGGGTCGGGATCAGGAGGTCTGGAGGGCAGGGAGGGTAAGGGTAGTATGGTGACCTAAGGCACGGTCAAAGAGAAGGGTCTTGAGACGGGCCTTGAAGGAATCAAAGGAGGAAGCGAGGCGAAGAGACTGCGGGAAGGAATTCCAAAGGGTGGTGGGCAGAGAGGCTGAAGGTCTTACCACCGATGGTGGGGTGGGCCGGGCAGGGGATGTGGAGCCCGCTGAGCAGAGTGAGCGGACAGGTCGATATGGACTTAGCAGGTCACAGAGGTAGGGAAGAGCAAGTGGAGGGTTTCAAACTCTTCTCTGGTCTCAAACGAGGTTCTCTTTCGAGTTCCGTTGACCATCTCTGCCCTCTCCTTTGCCTCCCCAGTTTCACAAGGAGCGATTCAAAATCGACATGCCCCATCGCTTCAAAGTCTACAACTACAAGAGCCCAACCTTCTGCGAGCACTGTGGCACTCTGCTGTGGGGCCTGGCCAGGCAGGGCTTAAAGTGTGAAGGTAAAAGTCTATTTGCGAAGCTTCCGTTCCTCTCCCAAAGGCTTCCTGTCGCTCTATTTGCGATTTGTGTCGACTCTATTCCAATTTTACTAAGCCTTAGTCAAGTTTCCTCACTCCACGCGCCCTTTTGTTTACCCAGCGGTGAGTGGGAACCCGGTTGATAGTCGATTGGTGGATCGCTTTACGGGGAGTAATACGCCTTTCAAAGAAGAAAAAATTGGTCACTCAATCCACGACTATTTGTGGGGACGCTGCTGTGCGCAATTGGCTGCCGCGCTTTGCCCACAAACTACATAGTCAATTCGCTTTACAGTATATCCCGTGAAGCGCTTTGAGACGTCTCGACGACGTGATGAGACGCCGTATCAAATGCAAGGATTATTATTATAATTACTATCATTATAATTCTCTCTCTCTCTGCCAGAATGTGCCATGAACATTCATCACAAGTGTCAGAAAAAAGTGGCCAACCTGTGTGGGGTCAATCAGAAAATGATGGCTGAAGCCTTGGCTCAGATAGAGAGCGAGCAACAGGTGAGGATATTGACAAGTTTATAGCAATGGGGCAAACTGTGTGGTTTTAGCTGTTTAGACTCCAGCAGTTACCCCAACGCACACCCTCTGGGGTCCCCAAGCCTTGGCTCTCGCCAACCTGCGCTTAAACTGGGTGAGTGGGGAGGTGGCGGGTGAGGTGGGGGGGGAGGCGGGGGGTTTTCCGGGAGTGGGGGAGCGCGAAGAGTGCGCTCTCTGTTCCACGCGGATCAATAAAACAAGGATTTATCTCGACCTCTGAATTGGGATTTCCCATGTACGAATCTCGCTCTCCCCCTCTCCCCTTCTCTCCACCCTCCCCCCCCTCCCTCCCTCTCCTAGGCTCGGAACCAGAGGGATAATGAGCAGGTGGGCCGTGAAGGACCGGTGGAAATCGGCCCCTGCATGCTTAAAGAGATCTCGACAACGGACCCAGACCAGGGCCCACTCACAGCAAAGAAAGGTACGACGACAACAAAAAACACATGACACTCAACGCGGCACCTTTCACGTCAGGAGGACGTCCCAAGGCGCTGGACAGTCAGGGATCCGCACCAGAGCTGGTGGTTGGGATCAGGAGAGGGTGGAGTGCGGGAAGGATGGGGGTAGGAGGGTGATCGAACGAACGGTCAAAGAGGAGGGTCTTGAGACGGGTCTTGAAGGAGACGAGGGAGAAGTGTTCCAGAGGGTGGGAGCAGAGTGGCTGAAGGCCAATGGTGGGTTGGGCTAAACGGATACGTGAAGCAGGCCGGAGCCCGCTGAGCGGAGGGAGCGGACAGGTTGGTCGAGGGTTAGGAGGTTGCAGAGGTAGGGGGGAGCGAGGCCATGGAGGGCTTTGAAGGTGAGGACCAGGATCTTGAACTGTATCCTCTCAGTTATGGAGAGCCAGTGGAGTCGGGCAAGTTTTAGGGGAATGTTTTGTGTTTGACTGAACAAAATTTGCATACTTTCATGGAAAAGCTATACACAATCTGCAAAATATTATTAATTTCACAACCGGGAGGGAGGGAGGAGTTGGGGATGGGGTGAAAATGCGATGTTTCTTAATAATAATAATAATATAATAAGCCTTGCGTTTGGTTCAGCGCCTGATCACGTCTTCGAGATGCCTCAAAGCGCTTCACAGAATATATTGTAAAGTGGACCGTCCGTGTATTTCGTGGGCGAAACACGGCAGCCAATTGCGCACAGCAGCGTTCCACAAACAGCCGCGGGGTGACTGATTAGTCGAGGGGTGTAGGGAGGATAAGTAGAGCAAGTCAGGACATCCCATCCGCCCCCCCCACACCCCCGCACCACCAAGTCGGTGAGGGTTTTGACTGTTCTGTGCTATTCTGTGCCCTTGTCTCTAGAGGATCTAGGCATTGCTTGGGAAACACCAAGGGAAGAAGGCTCACTCTCCGTGTCAACCACAGAGGAAACTCTGAAAAGCAGTGACCGAAGAATGACCATCGATGATTTCCTGCTGCACAAAATGCTGGGCAAAGGAAGCTTTGGCAAGGTAGGAAAAGCCATGACTGATGATTGTCTGGTCAATGATGAGGTAGGGTGGTCCTAGCTGGACCACACACACAGTGATATCAATGGCAAGCTATGTGGCATTGGCTGGTTAGACTCCAGCAGTTACGCCTAACGGACACTCTGGTTTCCCCTAAGCCTTGGATGGTGGAAGGTTGAGATCAGATGGGCCGAATGACCTTCTTCATCCAAACCGATCTTGTGATGTTGTGAGTGTGGTATCTGTATGAAGCGATGCAGACATCAATCCTTGTTACAGCGCATCCAATCTCTAAACCCAATCACTATCATAGAATCGTAGCATCTTACAGCACGGAAGGAGGCCATTCGGCCCATTGTATCTGCGCCAGCTCTTCGAAAGAGTTACCCACTCCCACTCCCCCACTCTTACCCCATATCCTTGCAAAATGTTTCCTTTTAACTACCTATCCTATCTTACTCCCTGCTCCTTCCTCCCTCCCTCCCTCCCTCCCTCACTCACTCACTCACTCTCTCTCTCTCTACAGGTTTTTCTTGCGGAGCTGAAGGGCAAGGATGAGTTCTTCGCCATCAAAGCCCTGAAGAAGGATGTGGTGTTGATGGATGATGATGTGGAGTGTACGATGGTGGAGAAAAGGGTCCTCTCCCTGGCCTGGGATCATCCATTCCTCACTCACCTCTACTGCACCTTCCAAACTAACGTAGGTTGGAGGGGTGGGGGTGATGGGAAGATTATTAGAGACAAATTAGAGACTCATAGACATTTATGGCGCAGAAGACGGTCCATCGAGTCTGTACCAGCCTTCCTGAGCCTCTATACCATGTGTGAAGACAGCACGAGACGGGATCAGTGCTGACATATAGAATATTTTCCATTCGACGAGGTGTTATTCTACCCGACCTCTGTGAGCTCCTAACCCTCTACCAACCCGCCCGCTCCCTCCGTTCAGCCGCCTCCGGCCTACTCCACGTCCCCCGACCCATCATCGGCGGGAGAGCCTTCAGCCACTCTGCCCCCAACCTCTGGAACTCCATCCCCCAGTCACTCCGCCTCGCCCCCTCCTTCAAGTCCCACCTCAAGACCCTCCTCTTCGACCATGCCATCGGCCACCCCCCTTCCCCTCCCCTCCCTTCTCCCCCCCCCCCCATGACCCCAGCTCGGGTCTGAAATGCTGTACACTGTCTAGCGCCTTGGGACGTCCTCCCGACATGAAAGGCGCTGTACAAATGTAATCTCGTTGCTGTTATATCGAGATCTCCCTGAACGTTTTGTAGGCATTAGGCACTCCTACTACTGTGGAGTCCTGCAGCTCAATGGTTAGAGCTCTCGCCTCGCAAGTGAGAGGACCCGGGTTCGACTATTCGCTATTCAAGTTTATTTAAGCACCTTCCTTCCTTCCTTCCTTCCTTCCTTGCTGCCTTGAGCCATTCTACCCCAATAACTCTCGGCTTTAAGAAAAACTAAACTGCCTTTGTGTCTCCTGCAGGAAAACCTCTTCTTTGTGATGGAATACCTGAACGGAGGAGACCTGATGTTTCACATTCAGAACTGTCAGAAGTTTGACGCGAAAAGATCAATGTAAGTTTGAGTTATTATGATTCGTATTTTATTAATACTATTATCATTATATTATTACAATGAAACTCAACAATGCAGCACTGCCCCGGCACTGAACTGGAGCATCAGCCTAGACCGTGAGCTCAAACTCTCCACGCTACAATTTGCAGTGGCAAGCTGTGTGGTTTTAGCCGGTTAGACTCCAGCATTTACCCCCAACGCACACTCTGGGGTCACCAAGGCTCTTGCAAACCTGCGCCGAATACTCTGGTATTTCCCCTCCCAAATAAAATTGGTCGCTCAACTGCATGGTGGTTTGCGGGACATTGCTGCGCGCAAATTGGTCGCCAGCTTTGTCCCGCAATGCACCCGGTCACTACATTTTACAGCTAGTTCCAGTGAATGAAATGCCAGATGTGTGCAATGGCAGCTCTCGCAGTTGCTAAAGACCGCCCCCTAGTGGTCGTGGTGTGAGCTTCTTCCGATTTCGCCGGCGTGGCACAGTCTCCCAAAACACAACCGATCACTCGCTTGGCGGCTGTTAAGGGGGGGACGTTGCTGTGGGTAAATTCCACCGCCCCCGCACCCCCCCCACAACCACCACCCCCCCGTCCCCCCCCACCCACCGCTCCAATTTTATCGGGAGGGTTGTCGGGTCAGGACACTTCTCTTTCCCGCAGTGCCGTGGGATCGTTTAACGTCCACCTTGAACATGGATCAGATCATCAAATCATCTCGCTTGACCATGCAATTCCCTCCCCCAGCGCAGAGCTGGAGTGTCAGCCGAGACTACGTGAGCTCAAAGTCCCGACTCGGTATTTGAACCCACGCGTCTTCTTGACTCGGAGGAGGGAGCGCTGCCTGATGGAGCCAGGCCGACACCCGAATGCGGCAAAAAGCAAAGGATTTTGAAGATTTTGGTGGTCAATTTCCCGCCGGGGGACGTTGTCCTCGTGCGAAATTCCGATCTGACGGGAATTATCTTATTTTTCAATGCAGGTTTTACGCGGCGGAAATCGTCTGCGGTTTGCAGTTCCTTCATTCCAAAGGCATTGTTTACAGGTACGAGACAGAGAGAGACAGACAGAGAGAGAGAGAAAGAGAGAGAGAGAGGGAGAGAGAGATCAGAGAGTGAGATGCGAGAGGGAGAGGAGGGAGTGATTGAGGGAAGGAAAAGGCACTTAACTTGCCTTCCACCTCTTGCTTTTACGAATCACCTTTCTCCCTTAATCCCTTAAGGGACTGAATCCCTTAAAGGTGTATGTGTGGATGAGGGTGTGAGATTGTACATATTTGCGTACGTGTGCGCGCGAGAGGGTCTGCGTACATTTGCGCCCCTGTGTGTGCATGTGTGTGCGTGTGAGAGCAATCTGCATGAGGGTATGTGTGTGTATCTGGGTGTGAGAGGGTCTGTGTAAATTTGTGTGTGTGTGTGTGTGTGTGTGTGAGCGTCTGAGTGAGTGTGTGAGAGTGTTTGCACATATATTTGTATGTGTGTGTCTGTACATTTGTGTACTCTTGAAAAGAGAAGGGTGAGGGGTGACCTAATAGAGGTATTTAAAATTATGAAAGGTTTTGATGGGGTAGATATAAAGAAGCGGTTTCGCCTTGTGGGGGGAGGACAAAACCGGGGGCCATAAATACACAACAATCAACCAATACGTCGAATAGGGAAACCAGAAGAAATTTCGTTACCCAGCGAGTGGAGAGAGTGGGGAACTCGCTACCACAAGGAGTAGTTGAGGCGAATTGGGGAGAGCGCGGAGGGGGAGTGGGATTGATTTGGAAAAGCTCTTTTCAAAGAGTCGGCCACAGACACGATGGGCCGAATGGCCTCCTTCTGCGCTGTAAAATTCTACGGTTCTATGAAAACCTTAGATGCATTTCAGGGGAAGCTAGACAAGTACATGAGGGAGAAAGGAACAGAAGGCTGTGCTGATAGACTTAGTTTGAGGAAGGGCAGGTGGAGGCTAATGTGGAGCATGAACACCGGCATAGACCAGTTGGGCCGAATGGCCTGTTTCTGTGCTGTATATTCTATGTAATTCCATGTATGTGTGTATGGGGTGTGTGTGTGTATGCTTTGTACGTTGTGTGTGTGTGTGTGTGTGTCTAATCCCTCTCTCTCTTCCTGACAGGGATCTGAAGTTGGACAATGTGCTGCTGGACAGAGACGGACATATAAAGATAGCAGATTTCGGGATGTGCAAAGAGAACATCATCAACGAGGCCAAGACCTGCACCTTCTGCGGGACACCCGATTACATCGCTCCCGAGGTCAGTGCGTCCGGAAAACCCATCCCGACAGCGTTCCCACTCCCTGCCCTCAACCCTGAGCCGGGCCGGGAGGGAGAGAGAGAGAGAGAGACACAGACACACACACGCGAACACACACAATGAGCTGAAGCAATTAAGGGGACCCCCAATAATTCAACTGCACGCACAATGGGCTGATAAACACCCCCAGTGTTCCCGCCTGACAATCCTCCTGTTAAAGTGGGTCACACACTTCACCGCTGTTTGTGGGACACTGTTTCCTGTAACTAACGGCTGCCGCGTTTCGCCCGCACAATGCGCAGTGTCACTACACTTTACAGTGTGTCCTGTGAAGCGCTTTGGGACGACTCTCGACGACGTGATAAGGCGCTGCGTCAAATGCAAGGATTATTATTGTTGTTGTTGTTATGTCAGCGCAGGTTGTTTTGTACCAATTGGGGCAATTTTCATCATTTGACTTTGTGACTTTGTTCCCTTTTTTCCCCACTTGCCCTGTCTCGTTTACTCCCATCCCCTCTCCCCACCTCTTCACCCTCGCCCCATCTCCCCTCCTCTCTCCCCGCCTCTATTTCCTCCTCAAATACCTATCCCTCCCGCTTACCCACCCCCGTCTCTCTCCCACCCACCTCTTCCCCACCCCCCCCCCCCCCACACAGATCCTGCTAGGACAGAAGTACGGCACGTCAGTAGACTGGTGGTCGTTTGGGGTGCTGCTCTACGAGATGCTGATCGGACAATCTCCCTTTCACGGCAACGACGAGGACGAACTCTTTCAGTCCATCCGCACGGACGACCCATTCTACCCTCGCTGGCTCAGCAAGGAGGCCAAAGACATCCTGGTCCGGGTGAGAAACCCGTCTCCCCTTTCCCCCTCCAACGCTTCCCAGAGCTCTCAACCCCCTCCCCACAAAATACGCGGTCATTGCGCCTGACAGTAAATCCCGCGAAGAGCTTTGAGACGTCCTCCCGACGTGAAGGGCGTTTAATCAAATGCAAGGATTGGTGATAATACAGTAAACCTCACAGAAGTCGTATCAGTTGGGACCGTACATTCAATATGACTGACGCAAAGTACGAGTTACGGCAAACTTGGGTAGAATATAACCTCTCGGGCAGATGTACGACTTAGGCAATTATACGACTTACACAGATCAGACTTATGCGAGTTTTACTGTAATGATAATAATAATAATAATAATAATAATAATAATAAATGATAATAAAGGGGAGTGTGTGTTCCAGCTTTTTGTCCGAGAGCCAGAGAAGCGACTGGGAGTGAAGGGAGGCATCCGGGAACATCTGTTTTTCAAGGACATTAAGTGGCAGCTCCTGGAAAACAGGGAGATGGAACCTCCATTCAAGCCTGTGGTGGTGAGTTAAGTCTGCGGCGTGGTGGTCAGAGCGCTCGCCTCGCAAGCCGGAGGGCCCGGGTTCGATTCCCGGGGCAGTTTTCTTTACTCCAAACGCCTCTGTTTACCTACGCAATAAAAAAATACGCAGTGTCAATCCATTTTACAGCGTGTCCTGTTGAGACGTCTCATCGACGTGATAAGGCGCTGCACCAAACATTATTATTATTATTCATTATTGTTGTCAACCATTATTATTATTTATTATTATGATGATGATTGCGCGTCACGGCAAAATCCTGCGAAACGCTTTGAGACGTCCCGAGGGCGTGACGAGGCGCTGTACCAAGTGCCAGGACAGTCCTAAACCCTCCTCCTTCCCGCTTACAGAAGTCAGCGAGCGACTGCAGTAACTTTGACAAGGAATTCCTGAACGAGAAGCCCAGGTTGTCATGTGCAGATAAAACCCTCATCAACAGCATGGACCAGAACATGTTCAATAACTTCTCCTTCACCAACCCCAGAATGGACCGGATGTTTTACTGAAGGTGACAGGGCGGAGGGTGCGGAGGTCAAAGGGCAGAGCGGGCAGGGTGGGGCAGGGGCAAAGAGCGGAGGAGGCAGAGGGCAAAGGGACCCGTAGCTTAGTGGTTAGCGCACTCGCCTCGCAAGCAAGAGGACCCGGGTTCGATTCCCGGGCAGAGCGAAACCTTAGGCAAGTTTCTTTACTCCACACACACACACGCACACACACACACGCACGCGCACACACGCACACACACACACGCGCGCACACACGCACACACACACACACACGCGCGCACGCCTCTGTTTACCCGGCAGTAAGTAGGAACCCGGTTGTTAGTCGATTGGGAGATTGCTTTCCGGGAGTAATAATCACTCAATCCCACGACTGTTTGTGGGGCACCGCTGTGCGAAATTGGCCGCCGTGTTTCGCCCAGAAAACTGCGCAGTCCATTCACTTGACAGTACATTCTGTGAAGCGCTTGGAGGCATCTCAACGACGTGATAAGGCGCTGCATCAAATGCAAGGATTATTATTATTAATATTACGAAGAAGGCAAAGTGAGGAGGGAGGAGGGTGTAGGGAGCGGAGGAAAGGAAAAGATTCGAGGGATTTGTTAAATATATATATATATACTATGAAAGGTAACTGTGTTCGTTTCTGTCCTCACACGTGATAGGACGGCTGTGAATCTCTGTTATACTGTCTTGTCGTAATGTCTGTGGATGGGATTACGAAGCTTTGATGGACGAGAAGGTGCACAAAGGACTAGATATATCTCCAGGCAACACTGATGGAGTGAGACCAACACTGATCACAAGAGAGGGTTCGGATGATAAGGACCCTTCGACCAGCCTGACCTCATCTCTCGAGTACCCTCAGCCTCCATTCCTCCCATCACACCATCAAACTGCCTGTTTTTGTTGTAAACTGTGTCCCGGCTTCCTGGCCTCAAACACCCTTCCTGGGACAGATACAAGTTAACGTTGACACAGGGAGTTGGGAGGAAGTCCCATTGGCGCTCAGCGGTCCCGGCTTGGCTCTCGAACTGGGAGTCGTGAGCCGAGGGCGGGGGAGCATGTGGGGGAGGTGGTAGGGGGTGGGAGTTGGGGTGGGGAAAGACGACCGAAAGGACAGTTAATGGACGCTGAGATATTGCCCTGTTCCAGTCACTGATTATTCTCCGGGTAACGAGTTTGTGAGCTCCTTTGAACCTTTCTTACTGAACCTTTGGCATTTTTTCGGGGAACCGGTAAAGGAACGGCCGGTTATGCAGAGCAGAGTCTCAGAGCGCTTCACAGTGGCAGAACCTGACTCCGAGCCGGGGGTGGGGGGAGGAAGGGAGGGAGGGAGGGAGGGAGGGGGTGAACGTAAGCACGGTCAAAGAGGAAGGTCTTGAGTCGTGATGTAAAAGAGGGGAAGGTGGTCGGTCGGGGGCGGGGGGCCGAGGCGGTGGGATTGAGGGAGAGCTTTAAATTACTCTGTCGCTCGCTTCAGGAGAACAGAAGATGGGATTTGGATGTGACCGTTTTAAAGGAGGCAAACTTTTCCTAACAACACCCCCACGCTCTTCCCCCCCTCTAGAATAAATCTTATCCCCACCGCCCCCCCTCCCTCAGCACCTCTGCCTCACCCACGTTCCCCGGACCCCCCACCACCACCTCTTCTTGAAACCTACCTCTTCGACCGTACCTATGGTCACCCTTCTCCGGGTCTATTAATTCTGCAGAATATACTAATCAACGAGGAAGTATTTTTTAAAAGGCGGGACGGGACGGGACGGGGCAATTAATAGAGAAATAGCCTCTTTAACAAAAAGCTCTCCCCCCCCCCCCCCCAACCACCCCTTTAAAAAATAAAAGAGGCCCTGAAACAAAACAGCCCCGTTAACAAAATACCTTCCTTTAACAGCAAACCCCCGTAAAAATGAACCCCTGATAAAATGAGCGCGTCCCGGGATAAATCCCGACGGACGTCAATTATGCGAGGTTTTCCTGACGTCGTTTCTTAATTTAATAAACTCCGTCGTGACTCCCACCCGCAGGACAGGCAGGGGTTGGTGGGGGTGGTGTGGGGCCGTTGGGAACGATGGCCTCTCTCTCTAGACTCTGCTGATGCCTCGATTTTAAGAAACGGCGGCACCAAATGGCGCAAAATTGAGTCCCCAAAAGCCGAGGCGACGCCTCCGATATGAATTGAAATGTAGCCCGAAATCTTCGGTGACGCCAATGGTACCGTGGGATGAGGAGGTTCCTGTACAGTGCATGTGTTTGTGAGACCTGTGGTTTGTACCGATACAAAGCCCGTTGAATGACGTGAGGCACTTAGAATAAATTTGTCAGTATCATTGAACCCCTCTGTGTCTCCCTTAAACACTCTACGATCGCGAGTCCCGTAGCTCAGCGGTTATAGCGCTCGCCTCGCAAAGCGAGAGGACCCGGGTTCGATTCCCGGCCCGGGACGAAACCTCAGGCAAGTTTCCTGACTCCGCACGTCTCCGTTTACCGAGCGGTGAGGAGGAGTTAGTCCGATTGGCAGATGGCTTTTCTGGGGATAATAATCCCTTCAAAAAAAATAAAATAATTCAGTCACTCGATCCACGGCTGTTTGTGGGGACGCCGCTGCGCGCAACAGCCTGCCGCGTTTCGCCCGCAAAATATACAGTCAATCTATTTTACTGCGTGATCTGTGAAGCGCTTTGAGGCTTCTCAACGATGTGACAAGGCTCTATCTCAAACGTAAGGACTATTAGTTTTGCCACAGCTCTGCTTTGGAGGGTCAGCCGACAGCAGCTCAAAGTCCCCAGTGTGGGGTGGGGGGGGGGGTTCGAACCCACAACCTTCTGACCCAGAGGCGAGAGCGCTACCCACTGCGCCAGGCTGAGACGCCGTTTGGCAGGGGTTTGAGATAAACATGGGGTTTCGTTTGAGAGAAGGTTAAAAGTTTTCCAGACCCTCGAGAGGCCCCGGATTGACTGTCAGATACCGAGTCATTCTCAGACGTAGTTGCGACTTGCATTTTCGCTCTGTGTGTTACGTCGCTCTGACTCACATTTCCAGTCACCGGCTGCCCGTGAAACTGTTTCCACAGCGAGCCAAAATTAGTGGAGTCTTTTCGTGCATTGGTTAGTAATGATAATAACAATCCTTGCATTTGATGCAGCGCCTCATCAAGTGGTTGAGACGTCTCAAAAGCTCTTCGCAGACTATACCGCGAAGTGCGGTGACTGTGTAGTTTGTGGGCGAAACGTAGAAACATGAGGAGGCCATTCAACACTTCGAGCCAGTTCCATCGTGCCATAATTGTGGCTGATCTGTGCCTCAGGTCCAGTTGCCCGTCCTCTTGCCGTCGTACCCTGACCTGACACGGCAGCTGATCGCGCACAGCAGTGTCCCACAAACAGAAGCGGATTGAGTGAGCAAATTATTTTGCGTTCCCATTGAAATAAACGGCTCCTGTTGCCTCCTCAGACGGAGATTGACTCCGCTCTGCTCTCGGCAAGGCTCCACTTTGCTTGGACTGCGCGAACAACGTTACCCCCAACACTCGATGGCCCGGTACGAGGTGCAAAGCAATGGAACGTTTGCAACGGGTCACTGCGAGCGTTCAGAGGGGTCGTCAATGCAAACAGACCGACAGGTGGCGGGCGTAGCGGAAAGAACAAACTCTCCTCGTCATCGTCAGCCGGGCTGTGGTCAGGCTGACTGCTCCGTCGAGCACCTGGGACCCCAACAACAACTTGTTGTTGTAAGGAAGCAAGAGGTCTAACATGGGAAGGAAGTTGGGAGGGAAGCAGGGAACGGAGGGAGAGAGGGAGGGAGGGAGGGAGGGAGGGAGGCAAAGGAAGGAAGGAATTGTTTTAAGTATTTAAAACATTCCAAAATACATAAAAATCCACTTTACAGTGTATCCCGTGAAGCGCTTTGAGACGTCTGGGTGACGTGATAGGACGCCGTACCAAACAGAAGTTTTACTATTGTTCATTCTCTGTGAGGAACACACGTTATCGTTCCTCTACTGCGTCGTGAGCCTTGTCTTGACGTACGGCCAGGCTTCAGGTGTAAAGTAATTGTCGGGACCTTCACTCCTTTGGCTTGTGTCAGCTCGGAAACCTTTGAAGACGTCAAGGCATTAGCAGACTTTGGACACCGGGGAGCAGTGCAAGCCCAGCTTGGCTCATTCGAGGCCTCGCTCATCGCAGCTGTTACAAGTTCATTTTAAGTCGTCAGATCCTCAGCTAAAGATGTTCTGAGAGGAGAAGAGAGTTTCTCCCTGACTTTCCCAGACAGCAAAACCCAACGTCAGTCGTTCCCTTCACAACGGTTTGCGTGAAATTATGATAATAACACTAATAATAATAATCCTTGCGTTTGATATTGAGACGTCTCGAAGCGCTTCACGGAACTTACTGTAAAGTGGAGTGACTGTATGATTTGTGGGCGAAACGCGGTAGCCAATTGCGCACAGCAGCGTCCCGCAAGCAGTCGTTAATTGAGTGACCAGGTTTCACCCTGACCGGGAATCGAACCCGGGTCCTCTCGCTTGCGAGGCGAGCGCTCTAACCACTATGTTACAGGACGCCTCTTTGGGACATCCTCCTGGCGTGAAATACTATGCCAGATACAAGGATTATTATTATTATTATTCTGATTAGTTTTCAATGTTATGAGTTGATATTGGCCCAATAATAGCAACACTTGGAGTTCTGTAGCTCAGTGGTTAGAGCACTCGCTTTGCAAGCGAGAGACCTGAGTTCAATTCCAGGCAGAGGGCGAAACCTTGGGCAAGTTTCCTTACTCCACACAGAGCCTAATAATAATCCCTCCAAAACCAAAAACAATAATAAATTGGTCATTTTCAATCTACGACTGTTTGTGGGACATTGCTGTGCGCAATCGGCTGCCGCGTTCGCCCACAAATATACAGTCAATTCACTTTACAGTGTGTTCTGTGAAGCGCTTTGGGACGTCCTCCTGACGTGAAAAGCGCTATATCAAATGCAAGGATTATTATTATTATTATTATAACACTCGAACACACTTCGCCTGGTTTGAAGCTGGGTGCAATGAGGGTTGTGGAACACCAGAGGGGAGTCTGGCGATGAGGATGGCGTTAGAGTTGAGTTCAATTAAGTTCACGAAACCTCAAAGCGAAGCTGTGAGGAGCCCAGCAGTGCATTAGGAAGTGGTCAGACCATCGCTTACCAGCTCTTACGGTAACACTCAATATAGTCTGTCGCGCCCCAGGTTTACTGCAACCACCCACCCGCCCTCTGCTCGAAACACAGACATTTGTATTGGAAAGACTGGGGCTCACTCTAACCCCATTCACTTGCTCTCTCTCTCTCTCTCTCTCTCTCTCCCCATCGTGTCTGTGCTGGGGCTCGCTCCCCCACTGGGCCGGTCTACTCTAATCCCAATCCTATGGCCATTCCCCATCGTGTCTGTGTTGTGCACTGAAGTTTTCAGACATTCCCCCCCCAAACATGAACCGATACAAGCATGATTTAATATTATTAATATCTACCTTGGTGGGGATCCCGTAGCTCATCCTCCTTACAAGTGAAAGGACCCGGGTGTGATAAACCCGCGTGTTAGTCGATTGGTGGATCGATTCCCATGGGGTAAAAGTCTCTCCAAAGACAAATGTGGTCACTCACTCCATGACCGTGTGAGGGACACTGCTGTGCGCAATTGGCTGTCGCGTTTCGCCCAGAAAATGTAGTCAATTCACGCCTCAATGGCGTGAAAACATCAAATGCAAGGATTATTATTATTATTATTATGTGTCCTCGAGTTACTGACTAAAGGGAACAGTTTCTCCCTACGTTAGCAGCACCTGCCCGCAGTAATTTTCCACACAGGGAAATCAGCTGAGCTGGGAAAAGTGAATTTGACTTGTTGATTTGTGTGTTAAACCCGCCCTCGGCCTGGGAGAGTTTCAATACCGGGTCTGCGTACAGCGGGATAATGAGCTGGTGATAATGAATGATAATAGCCTCACTGCGCTCCACTACACGTGGAGGCATGGGGTGACCGGTGCAGCTAACAACACAATAACAATCAACAGATTAGGCTACGA